AAAAAAAAAAAAAAAAAAATGTGACATGGGCACCGAAGAAAATGAGACAACTGCTGTCAGTATTCTGAACCGCCCCTTGGGGACCCGCTCCTTGGGGACCCACCCAGTGTCTTAATGTCATCTTATATAAAGTCCCCTCCAAGGAAAAAACTCCTCCCCCTTTGCACTCGCCTGCTCTCTCTCTCTCTCTCTCTCTCTCTCTCTCTCTCTCTCTCTCTCTCCCTCCCTCCCTCCCTCCCTCCCTCCCGCTCTCCTCTTGCTCTCTCTCCTTCTCTCCCTCTCCCCCTTTAATAATAAAAACTTTCCACATGGACATGTGTCTGCATGGTGTGAGTAACTTCCCACCGCTCCACGCCCCAGCCCATGGTAGCCAGCTGGGTCTGCATGGCTGTCTGTACAATGAATGGAAAGTTTATGTCAAGGATGCTTTCTTAGAAAATAAGAAAGGATGGAGGGGAGGGGAGGGGAGGGAGAAAGGGAAAGAAAAAAAAGGAAACCAGAAATTACAGGAGCCCCTTTACCTTTCTCCCCAGACCCAGAACTAAGAGTCTGAAAAAGCGAGGGTGCAGAAGAAACATCTGTGCCTTTTGATTCTCGTTCCATAGACTTACTTTTACTTTCTATGCTTACCAAAATCAAAACAAACAAAAGATTGTCACTATTGTCACTAACAAATTGTTATAAATTTGGAAAAAAGCTATATATATATATATATATATATATATATATACACACACACACACACACACACAAATGAACTATTAAATAAAATGAACTATTAAATAAAACTATTAAAACCATGCTAGGGGCTGGGCATGGTGGTACAGGCCTTTAATCCCAGCACTTGCGAGGCAGAGGCAGGTAGATTTCTTTGGGTGTGAGACCAGTCTGGTCTACAGAGCAAGTTCCAGGACATCCAGGACTACACAGAGAAACCCTGTCTTGAAACAAACAACCAACAACAAAAAACACTAGGAAATTTAAAACCGATGAAAGAATATATAAGCTATTGGCCTTCCAATTTCTCTTACAACAAACAGTAAACTTTCTTTGAGGACAGTAATGGGCATTTAGAAATTACTGTTTCAGCAGCTCTGTAGTATTCTAGACAATTTCATCATTGGTTGATGGTCTTTGCTCAGAAAATGTTCTTTACGGGTGTGCCTTAGCAGGTAAAGTATTTACTGCCATGCGAGCCTCTTGATCTGAGTTCCACACTAGGAATCTACATAAAGAAGTCAGACACCGTGGCCACACCTGAGATCCCAGCACTGCCAAATGACATGAAGAGACAGAAGGGAGTCCACAGCGAGCTAGCCTGAGTCCACAGTGCAGTAGCACAAAGAAGACCCTTCCTCAGCAAGGCCGAGAGCCAATTCCTCAATTTTCCTCGGACTCCATATACATCCACATACATGATAAGCATTGAAATTTTTAATAAGAAAGAACGTATCTCTATTACATATAGCTTTATAAATCAACCAAGACGTCAGGTTAGCAATAAGTGTACGCTTCTCAGCTGTTTCCTTGGTCTTCGGCCCGGTGGAACCTGGAGACTGAGGTACGAGTTCTAATCAAAGGTTCTACCACTCAGACTCACAGAGCTCCCAACTGGGTAACCCGGACCAGCACTGTGTCGTAGTTCTAAAACTGTGTCGTAGAGAGCCACACGGTGACCTGGCAGGCAGCTCTCTCTCAACGACAGCCTCACTGCAGACTAAACAGTATGCCTGCATCTCTACCTCCATGCTGGGCGAGAGCAGGCCGTGCTGCAAGCCTTAGCAGGAAACCGACGCGAACCAGAGAAACACATTTACCGCCTGCATCACCAGCGACACATCCATCTTCTAAACCAGACCACCTTGTCTCTCCCACTCAGTGTTCCCCTCTGTTTCTTTGACTAAATCCATCATCCTTGGGCGTCAACACGACCAACCACACGACCAGGCACAGGAGAGACTGTGCTGGGCATGTCAATTATCCAGGTTAATCGGAAGAATGATTCTGTTACTGTAAACTACTCCACTGCTAACTGAACAGCGCTCTTTTCTTTTTGGCTAATGAAAATAACATTAGTCTTCGGAAAGTAAAAATTTTCTCAAGTTAAAGGTACAGTATGCTTTGCCAAAATTGATGCTGTAGATACTGTTGTTATAAAGGACAGTTTAAGGACACTGTGGCGGAAGGTTAAGTAGACAGACACCACAGCCTAAAAAGGTCACTGTTACACTGACTCTAAGGTAAAATCGGACAAAGGGAATGGCTCAACATGTAAGAGCTTGTGTTACTTTTCAGCTTTTAATACTGCTTCTAAATCAATTTCCATACTAATGATACTCCATAAACATATGTACTAATAAGAATATAGACTTGGCTTCAGAAATATCTGCAAGGAAATACTAAATACACCAGCACTTCAGGGACAATTCTGTTCCTGTCCCCAGATGTTCTTTCTGCAGCATTCCTGTTTCTGAGATCAATACATTTTTAGGTAAATAAATGCGATGGTTCTTTTTCATGAACAGGTTTGAATTCTTAAGCCAAGGCACAATCCCTTTCCCCTCAAAAGCTCCTAAAGCCAACTGTACTGCATAGTTTCAGACAGACTAAATTTAGCCAGTTCTGTTCATCAGAGGAATGCTGTGTGTCAGCTACACCAAAGCCCTAGGGCAGCCTGATAAACACTGAATACAGGTCACGTAGCTCTGTAGCTAACAAACTCGAGGAGAGCTTGGACTCGGGGGCATTCAAAGCAGTTTTGTCATCAACAATCTAGTATCCCCTGAGCCCCCATGTCGTTTCAGTTGCTAAGCAACTCTGGTGTTAATGTCTTAGAGGAGAAAACTTACCAGGCATCTGGCCGTTCATCTGGTTCTGCATGTGTGGGGCAGGAGGGCCCCCACCCACCATTCCATCTGAAGGCATGTTGTGAGAGCGGGGAGGGGGTGGAGGGCCGCTCTGACTCATCCCTCCAGGACCCATAGGCATATTCTGTGTGGGCGGCTGAAAGAGACAGCTTAGTAAGACAAGAGAAACAGTAGACGGGTGCATGAAAGATTCATATGGAATGGCTGCTGTCTATATTATTAAACTGGATAAAAACAAAACAATAAATGCATTTCAATGCCTTTTAAAGTTGAACTTATTAATATCATATTTAATAATCCCTCATAACTTCAAGTGCATTGGAAAGTAGACTACAGTAAGAGTGTGTTCTAACTTAAAAAAATCTCACAGTGAAATGAAATTTTTTAATAGGTTATCCAAACAGATTTTTTCATTTATTGATGATCTCTAACATGTCTACTATTATTTAAATTACATTTAAAAAACTAAGTGTGCTTTCATAATGAACATATTTGCATGTTTACTAATGGAAGACTTTTACCTGCAAAGCAGGTAACAGCACAACACATAAAAGGAGCAAGAAGTGTCAAAGAGCGTTGTCTTCAGACCTGGAGTGTTAGGACTGACAGGAAGAACGTCGAACAGCTCAGCTTAGCTCTGGGTCCCTCACTGGCTGGCAATGTTACTGATGGCCTGGAAGGGTACCCAGACAGCGGCCTCTAAAGGACACCTTTGGCAAGCTTCCTAATGAAATTCTGAAGAAAACTACTCACTAAATCTGAGTTCACAAAAGGGTGAAACGCACACACGCGCACACGCACACACTCATGCACATAAACGATGGTCTTCAACACCTGTCTTAGGTGGAAAAGGCAAATGGTTGGTTAGTTTCTCCCAAGCCCTCATTTCGGTCTGCAGGTTAGGAAGACTTGGATATACGCGCTCACTGTGCTCCACACATCTCCTGCCTTCTTTCCTTCCTCCTTCCAGGCCATACGCTGACGTCCACTTCGCAACTCCCTGTATTTGTCACCTCTAATTAGTTACTATGTAGCTTTCCGGATGTGAACACAGCAGCACTTGGCAGGCATCATAAATACTCATTGTTAATGAATCCCTAAGATAGAGAAATCTTTCTTTTTTCGTAGACCAGGCTGGCCTCAAACTCACAAAGATCCACCTGCCTCTGCCTCCCGAGTGCTGGGATTAAAGGTGTGCCACCACCCAGCAATATTGGTTATTTCTAACAGCACCATTTGAAAAAAATACAAAAACACAACTTTTAATTTATTAGTAAATCCAGATCACTAATCTTTAGTAAGAATTTTAAAACCTCATCTTCAGGTCTTTGTCTAGCTTATATCTTTACACACTTTTTTTTTTTTTTTTTTGGTTTTTCGAGACAGGGTTTTTCTGTGTAGCTTTGCGCCTTTCCTGGAACTCACTTGGTAGCCCAGGCTGGCCTCGAACTCACAGAGATCCGCCTGGCTCTGCCTCCCGAGTGCTGGGATTAAAGGCGTGCGCCACCACCGCCCGGCATATCTTTACACACTTAATAATTTAGTTCTGATAAAAAAAAAAAACAGTCACACATCTCAATTTTAATTATATACATCACCTCCAAATCCGATTAACTCTTTGTAATCCAATCTATAACACATCCTGGATCACTATTATCATTACAAGGCCTAGCAAACAAACACTCCTAATAACAAGTCATAAAGTGCTGGGAAACAAAAGCAGGCTGGAGGAGGAATGAAGGCTATATCCCTCCAGGAGGAGGGTCAAGTGCAAGACCACACAGCCGCGCCTGAGCCGCTCTCCAGCTACAGAGAGGAAGTTTCGTGGTTTTGGTTTTGTTTTGAAATGGCACAATGGTAATGGTAAAGGTCCCTGAGTTGTGTGCTTTACAATGGCTAACATGGTGGCTGTTATATATGAATTTTATTTCAATCCAAATGGATAAACAAATGAGATAATCGTAACATTACATTTTTAAAGTTTTGTTTTTATCATGTGTGCAGCGGGGATGGGAGGCATGGTCAAAATGCAATTTGAGGGAGTTGGTTCTCTCCTTTCATGATGTGTGTCCTGGGGATCAAATTCACATTGTCAGGCTTGGCAGCAAGCTCCTCTACACTGGCAAAGCATTCAAATTTGGGGGTTTTCAAAAACCTAAAAATAACCATGTTTGATATTAGCAAGAATAGGAAAAAAACAAATAAACAAACAACAACAACAAAACAAACAAAAAACAAACAAACAGGAAAATGGAGAATTTCTGTAAAGTCCTGGGAATCTTATAAGGGAGTCAGGTATAAATTTGTGAGCTAGAAATAAAATCATAGAAATTAAGAAAGCAATAGTTAGAAACAACAAAACAGGCTGTAAAGAAATTTACAGAAATACAGACGTGTAGAAGAGGGAACATACAAACAAACCAAAGAAAGCACACAGCGGTCGAGGACCGAGCTGGTGTGAAGAGCTGGTGCAGCATGCACAAGACCCTGGGCTGGAGGACCGAGCTGGTGTGAAGAGCTGGTGCAGCATGCACAAGACCCTGGGCTGGAGGACCGAGCTGGTGTGAAGAGCTGGTGTAGCATGCACAAGACCCTGGGCTGGAGCACCGAGCTGGTGTGAAGAGCTGGTGTAGCATGCACAAGACCCTGGGCTGGAGCACCGAGCTGGTGTGAAGAGCTGGTGTAGCATGCACAAGACCCTGGGCTGGAGGCCCAGCACTGAAGAAGCAAAGTACAAGAGCACATACAGCATCTGCCTGGAGTTACAGAACACAGAGCTGAGAGCATTCCAAAGCTAATAAACGACTCCTTTAAAACACCGAGACAACACACGGAGAGGTAACAGACCAGCCCAGAACTCTACATTAAGATAAAACACCCTTCTCTCCAGCTTGAGGATGAAATACAAATTCTTTAAGGTGAGCAAAAGCTAGAATTTGTTATAAGAAAGAGGTTCACTGAACAACAACCTGGGTAGCTCACAACCTGCAAACTCCAGCTCCGGGGGATCTGACACCTGTTCTGGCCTCTGGGGACAACAAACATGTAGTGCAGACATGCAGGCAAACTTCTTTAAACAGCAAGTAACTACATACGAAAGAGTATGGAGGAATGATGAATCAATCAATCAATACATCAATTAACATACATTACTATTAACATTCACAGTAACAATGGCATGTAGAGGGGCTGGGAACAGTAGTAAGCACAAGGCCCTGGGATGAGTCATCAATACCAGAAGGAAAAGAACAAACCCATATACTCGACAGCAAGGGTGTATACACTTCTTAACACAGCTTCAAAGACCTGAGAAGCAAAAACTGAGAGAATGACAAAGAGGAAACCACAGAGAAAGGGTTAAGACTTTTCAACATACTTCTCTCAGTGATTCACAAAAGGCCAAAAAACAAAAAAGTAAAAAAGGTGCTGCAGGCCGCAGGAATATATCATAAGAACTGAGCTGGTTATAGCAAAGTCACTACCTGGAGGGATCAAGGATTTCCTCCAGAGGAAGCCAAATCCCAAGGAGCTTTTGGTGTTACTTGACTTGTTATATATCAGCTGCCTTCTGTTATGAAAATCATGTGTGCCTTCATAGTTTTCCCAATTGACTTTTCCCTAAGAAGGGCTAACAGTATAGACTGATCATTCTCTGGACATACACATTCCAGGTGTTTGGAAAACAGCCTCAGGAAAGGCTTTCTCTGGAATCAGATATCTTCCTTGGCCACTTTCAAGGACTAGCAGTAATAACAGTCCACATGCAAGTCTCCTGGTTTAAGATAAATTCCACAAGGAGACACTGCCTAGGTCAGGTGGACGTTAAGTAATAGCTTTACACAATTTAGCTCAGACCCTCCTTTTCTTACATTCTTACTAACTTTATAGACCTTTAACTCCTTTCCTAACCACTTCTAGGAATATTTAGATAACCTTCTGCGCTGACAGCTATGCTCAGCCAGAACCCCAGTTCAAGCCTGCCTGTAATTATCAACATTGGCAGCATCCGGCCAGGTCCATCCCCAGATGGAGGAAAGTACCTTATCAGAGATACTTCTATATTCTCTAAGAACAGACTTAAGCATCCAGGCTATCTGTTTGAGAAGGCCTGGCGGATGTGCCAATTAAGCTTTACTTCCTCCTTTCCCAAACCTTACCTCTAGTTCCAGATCTCCCTTTAACTATCACCAGAGGCATCTAGCTGTACAAGTCGCCTAGCGACTGAGCACACTTTCCCCCACCCTGCAGGAAAATGGCAGATAGCTTGGACAGATAGGAGCCACAGGAAAAAAGAAAGCAGTTTTATTTTCTCCCATTAACCTAGCAACTTATAGATTCTTAACATTTTCTACTAATCACGTTTAAGACTATAGTTGAGCACATAAGAGCCCTCTTCTTAGATATTACCTAAATCTAGCCTTTAGTTAATTCATTTCCCCATTGGTCACTTCCCTTTGGGGTTGCAAATGATAATTAACGGTTATTGCCTCCCTATGTGATTCTTATCACCCCTCCGTTTGACGCTGGAAGCCTGGTTTTATATACCAGGACTTCCAGGGCACAGGACGGAGAAGAGAAAAGAGTATGGAAGAACTAGATGGGTAAGAACTTGAGAGGAACAAACTGAGATGAGGAAGAAGTAGATTGAAGGGCTAGAAGAAAGTACTAGAGGAATGAGATGGAAGATGAGGAAGAGACAACTGGGGAAGAACAAGATGAGGAAGAACTAGACGAGAGAGAAGGAGACGGGAGAGGAGCTGATATGGGAAAGAACTGGATGGATGAGAACCTAGAAGGGACAGAACTAGATGAAGGAATTAAGATAGAACCTAGAGGGGACAACAGATAAATGTAGAGATATTGGGCAAGAAAGGAGCTAAATATGAGAGCAGAATATAAGCTTGTAACTGACACAGAATAATAAAGTATATGGACTAAGGAATTTCGTGTACATAGATTCATTTCTTTTCATCAAAGATTAATTATCAGCTGGTTGTCGATTCTTCCCAGACCCTGGGAGGGGACTATCGAGGGACTAGACCCCCATAGTCCCTGATAAAAAGGCAAATCAAAAGAGCGGAAACCAGAAGGCTGGCATGATTAACTACAAATCACTAACAAAATGATAACATTCAA